ACCAACATGGTCCACATTCTCTATAAGCACTGAGATCCTATTTCCTATTCAGGCCAACACAGATAGAGAAAGAAGGARACAACCAAAAAATCCTTCCTGTAATTATTCTAGAGGGAGTCTTGTCTATTGCAAAAGAAATGAATGCTTAAAAGTAGAGGTGTTTACTTCACATAACTCAAAGATCTTGGAGAGCCAACAGAGTGAATAGTTTTGAAAACACCAGAGATGYCTCCAACCAGCCACCAAATGGAAATCTAAGGAAGATTCACCAAACAGATAAAGACAGCTTCTTCCAAGCACTTTCCAACCAAAGCCTAACACTGAACAAAGAACACTTACATTTATATAAACACAGAAAACAGGCACATTCACACACAGTGGACACTGGGAGAAAACCAGCCTCTCAGGRGAAAGAGACCAAGCTGGGCACTAAGGACAAATAGTCCTACTAAGTTTTTCTGGTATGTAGAAAACTAAATTAATACAGGATTTTGGTAAATCAAGATTATATAATATATATCATTTTTGCAATTTGCTTTTTTYCCCATTTAATCATGCCACGTGGGCAACTGTTCATTTATATCTCTGCCAAAATTCTGGAATAATTCCATATTAAAAGATAGTTGGAGACATTTAGATATGGTATAATATAAAACTATTTAAAAAGAAACTGTCTAGAATGAATCGGACATAACTTTCCTACAATCATATATGAATACATAACCAGTGTAATTCCACATCATGTACAATCACAAGAATGGGAAATTATACTCTATGTATGTATAATATGTCAAAATATACTCTATGGTCAGGTATATCTAAAGAGAAAAAAATTTAAAAAGTATTGTTTCCTAAAAAAAAAAAAGAAAAAGAAAAACTCTCTGATGTTCTCTAAAAGTGAAAAGAATAAGGAAGAGTCAAAGAGCTAAGCTCTCAGTAAATGCAGGCCTATGGGGCCCAATGGGGAAGTCATGAGCCAATCCTGCTCAAAGCCCAAAGCGCTCAGGAAAAGATGTATATTTTACTCCCCACAGACCTATATTTTTGTAGAGATAATTAAGGCTCATTTATATTGAAGAAGGTCATTCATATAAAACACTGAAACTTAATCCCTGGTAGATTTTCTTACCTACTATTCCAGGTAAAAGAACACAATTTATCATTATCAGTATTGCCAAATTTTATTTTATTTTTTTAGCTGTAGATGGACACAACACAATGCCTTTATTTTTATGGGTGCTGAGGATTGAACCCAGGTCTGGCCCRTGCTAGGCAAGTGCTCTACCGCTAAGCCACAATMCCAGCCCCTATTGTCAAATTTTAAACAAAACTTTGGGAAGATACTGCTCTGTGTCTGGAAGGCAAGCAATATATCAGAAAGGAAACTGGTTTCCAGGTGGTTATTTGTGACATCTGCAAGTTACACATATATACTGATAGACTTTCTAACTTTTTAATGGAGAAATTAAATTTCAAATTTAATGGTTTTTATTGACTTGTTTCAGAGAACAATAATCAAAATAATGAATTCCTAACCAGATTAGTTTTAAGTGCTCAAGGATTAAATTGTAATCAGTATTCAATCACATTATTATACATTTCTCCACAATGAATAAGCAATCCTGAAGGTTAGCTTCTGTTATTTCTAGGTGTACATTTTATTCTACAATTACTTTAAAAATAAATAAAATCTGTCTTATAGTTAAAATGGCACTTAAAGAAAAGATTAAAAAAAAAAGAGCCCATTTGCGCTGTGAAAATATATTTACAAAACTAAGAGAACATTTCAAAAAGGTGAAATATAAGTCGGTTTTAAATAACAGGTTGTTTTGGTATTGTTCATTGTGGTCATGTGGCCAAAAGATAAAGATGTGCCTGAAACTGATTTAGAAATTGTGGATTGCTATGTGCAAATGTGTCTGTCATTGTTACTGCTGAACACCATGCACCAACAGGAGAGCACCTAGACTACATCCAGACCTAAGCATAAGAGCTATAACTACACCTAGGCATGGTAGCACAAACTTGCAATCCCATTGATGTAGGAGGCTGATACAGGGGTGGCACCAGTTGGAGACSAGCCTCAGCAACTTAGTGAGGCCCTAAGCAATTTAGCAAGACCCTGTCTTGAAACAAAAATTAAAAGGGCTGGGGATGTGGCTCAGTGGTTACATGCCCCTGGGTTCATCCCTAGTGTCAAAAAATGAAAAACAAAAAGAAGAAAAATAAGAGGAATACAAATAGCTAACAAGCACATGAAAAGACTACTCGCCATCTTAGCTATTCAGGAAAGGCAAATTAAAGCCACAAAGACACCACTATAACTCAGTAAGATGTGTTGATTAAACAATGAGTTGGTGGGGACCAAGAAACACTGCTCACTCTCATACATTGCTGGTGGTGTAGCCACTTTGGAAAACAGTTCAGCAGTTCCACAARAGGTCAGAGGTACCATAAGACCCAGCAATTCTACTCCCTGGGATATAACAGAAAGAACTGAAAACATGTATCCATGTGAAAACCTGGGCACAGATGTTCACAGCACTATTATTCATAATAGCCAACAAATATGAAACGACTCAAATGTCTACCAAAGAGACTGGAAAACAAAATGTAGTAGACACTTACCATGGAATATCAAACAGTAATTAAAGGAATGAATTACGAATACACACTACAACATAGACAGACCTGAAAAACATTATTTAAAATGAAAGAAGCTAATAATAAAAGACCACACGTTATATAATTCCACTTACACGAAATGTCCAAAACAAGGAAATCCATAGAGATAGATTGATTAGTGGTTGTCAGGGTTAAAGTTTGGGGGAATGGAGATCACTGCTGACAAGTATTGAATTTCTTCTAGAGATGAATAAAATGTTTTAAAAATAAGATTGTGGGGATAGCTGCATAATTCTGTGAATATACTAAATTGTTTAATAGTAAACTTTGGGTGAATTTTACTCTGTGTAAATAAAGCTCCATAAGCTGGAGAAGACGAAGAGGATAAGGAGGGGTGAGAGCTATTGTGGCTGTGTTCATGCTTTAAGAGTTTGAGAGCCAGTGGTGCTGGTGGTACACCACACCGGCAATCCCAGCCACTTGGAAGGCTGAGGCAGGTGGCTCACAAGTCCAAATCCAGCCTGGACAATTTAGTGAAACCCTACCTCAAATTTTTAAAAAATACAAAGGACTGGGGATGTAGCTCAGGGATAAAGTGCCTCTAGGTCCAATCTCCATTAATACAAACACACATACACACACAAAAAAAACAAACAAACAAACAAAAAAAAAACACAGACTTTGAGAGGCAAGGTGCCAAAAGTTACACAAGGGATTTCATGCAAGTTTTTAAATGGATTCCTATCCTTTAAATCTACCATTCTTTAACTTTTTATTTGCCTTAATTTCTACAGGTATACAGAGTTATATAGGAAATACGCTCAATAAATAGGCAAAATCAGGCTGGTACTGAGCAAATGGGTGCCTTGGGCTTTGTTTTTTTGTAATTTCCTCATAGAGTATCTCAGAGACAAGATAGTTTTATCTCTGATTTTTTCTGTACCAAATAGAGAATGTGGTACACACTTGGTACCAGCTCAATGTTGAATAAATAAATATCCCTGTACAATAAAGCAGAACAAAGAAAATGAATCAAAGTAGGCAAACATAAAATGTTCAAAACATTTAGAAAAACAAGAGACGAAACTAGGCCTACCAAGTTGAATTAAAATGGTGAAAAATAATATTCCTTAAAAAATAAATACACCTGTAAAGCAAAAGAAAAGGTTAATCACAGTAGCAAACTGTAGAAGATAAGAACACTATCTTAGGACTCCTTCCTTTAGCCAAAATTAACAAAGTACCTACGGCATGCAAGACACTGGCTAATGTGCTAGAGAGAGAGACAAACACTTCGTAGACATAAATAGCAAATTTTAACAATTTAAAGTAGTGATGAGCATTATGAAAACAATTAAATGAATACAGGGAGAAGAAAATGCCTGAAAGGTGGCTGTAAAGAGGGTGGCCACAGAAGAGCCCTCTGACAATCCCGTGCATAAACACTGCCGGTACGTTTCTAAACCTCGGGGTACATAATACAATTATAAAATTTAGGAGAAAAAGATTGCATTTTCACCCAAAAATAAAGTATAAATTAAAATAATTCACTGGTTTTTTTCTTTAATTTTTATTGTTGGTTGTTCAAAACATTACATAGTTCTTGACATATCATATTTCACACTTTGATTCAAGTGGGTTAATTCACTGTTTTTGAAATCATCCATTCCTATATAAATGTGCAAAAAATAAAACCTGCTTGTCGTTAGTTAGTATTTTACCTAATTCATGAATCTGTTTATGACTAAACTGAACTAGAAGTAAATGAATATCCTAAGACTCTCAAGGACTAAACTATGAGCTAAATCACTTCAATAAAATAAATGGTAAAAAATTATTTACCCATCATACACAAGAATGTACACTCAAAAACACATTTTGACAAAAGCATACACGGCATTAGCTGCCAGTCTTCTCAGAGCATGCAAACCCAAGTAAAAATGACACTGTCAAGAACACTCCATCATTACTTTGATCAAATATTTTATCCTCCCAAAAGAAAAAGTAAAAGAAACAGACGACTAAACAAATACATAAAATTGCAACAAGAGGTTCCACATTTAACTGTATTTCTAAGCTCCTTGGACCTCAATCTCTACGGCATGAAATCAGATGTAAATCGAGTATGGTGCAAGCAGTGCATATAAATCCACAAACGAAACAGCTCAACTTGAGTAAAAAGTAAGGTTTCCTCCTTTCCTTGTCTATTCACCTAAGATTAAATAGTGTCAAAGGGGAAAAAAAAAGTTAGCATCACTTCTACTACAAGTATTTATTAATATTCTATCCATAACTTTCAGACACTTACACAAATCAGCCAGGAAAAAAAAAAATGAAGAACTACAGGAAATTTAAAGCATCAAGAATCCACTAACCTTAATCCATTGAACAGCTGCTTGGATTTATCCAGAAGATAACAAAAATCTGTGACTGTTTTCCTTTCTCCCTGTGGGATATCATCTTCAGCACCTCCAGAGGACATGATTTCTTTAAGGGCAAATTCAGTCCTGTAAGAAAACATATGTTCATTTACCCTGTGAGTAAAAATAAAAACCAAAGCAAAACTTAGATATATTATTTGATAGGATTTTTTCCCAAGATAGATACAGAATTCTTCTGATTATACTCAAATCACCAATATAATCTTATAAGATGGACCACTGCGGCCTGGAGATCAGGAGGAGAGGCCCTCCCAGAGCCCAGAGATCCACAGTGAGCCACCCTGCACTGGGGTTCCTAATTCACCAAAGCCTGTCCACAGCCCAACATCAGGGTACATATAGGCTTGAGGCTGCCACAAGGAACTGGGATATCGCTGCTTCTATCAAGGGACAAAAATAAGRACCTGGTAACCAAGGTCCCTGTGGGCCTGGCTGCACCTAATATCTTTACTACAGGTGCTAATAGTTACCCTGTTGCTGAGGTAACAGGGGGTCTTGCATGGGGTTGCCTATCTCTTGTTTCTCCTACTAACAGCCAACTTCTTATGATTACCCTCTCACTAGTCATATAATCTAATACCTCCATATTCTCATATTCTACCACATAAACATCTCAGCCAACCTCCTAGCCCCTGCTTCTACCATTAGAAACTGTAAACCATTACGCAAACCTATTGATTATAAGGTAGAAGATAATCGAACTCATCATTTCTGATTATAGTGACAAAACTGTAAATATAAAAATAGAAGCTAAATGATATATGGCTGCACGTTGGGCACACTGAGTGCTGTAATATTGATCTCTCCCTTAAAAATGAGATATTGGTATAGGGACACTATAAGACAATGAGGCAGAAGCCGTAATACCTCAGATCACACTGCAAGAGACGAAGACTCATAGATATCATGAAAAAACAAGAAAGGAAAGTGCCTCAAACCATCCAAGATACTACAACAATTGAATGCATAGACAGCAGAGTAGGTGTACCGTCAGAGAAGGAGTTCAGAATATACATAGCCAAAATGATTTGGAAATTAAAGAATGACCTAAGGGAGCAGATACAAGCAAAAATTGATCATCCAACAAAGAGACAAGAGAACAAATACCGGTTGCAAGAGATTACTTCAAGAAAGATAGAGATATTGAAAAAAAAAACAGAAATCTTTTGAAATGAAACAATAAGCCAATTAAAAAACTCAATAGATAGCATCACCAACAAACAGACTAGATCACTTGGAAACCAGCTCCTCAGACAATGAAGACAAAATATACAATCTTGAAAATAAAGCTGACCTCACAGTGAAAATAGTAAAAAAAAACACGTACAGAATACCCAAGAATTATGATACCATCAAAAGACCAAATTTAAGATATACTGGGATAGAGGAAAGTTCAGAGATTCAAACCAAAGAAATGCACAATCTCTTTAATGAAATAATAGCAGAAAATTTCCCAAGCATGAAGAATGAACTAGGATAATCAAATACAAGAAGCCTAATAAGACAAATGTACAAAATTACAACAGATCTACATCAAGACACATTATAATGAAAAGGCCTAGCATACAGAATACGGATAGCATWTTAAAGGCCACAAGAGAGAAAAATCAGATTACCTAAAAGGGAAGACCAATTCTGATCTCAGCAGATTTTTCAATCCAGACTCTCAAAGCTAGGAGATCCTGGAACTACATATACCAAGCTCTAAAAGATAATGGATGCTAACCAAGAATCTTATATCCAGCAAAGTTAAGCTTCAAAATGTACGATTAAATAAAAACTTTCAATGACAAACAAAAGCTAAAAAAAATTACAGCAAGAAAGCCTGCACTAAAGGAACATTCTTAGCAAAATATTCCACAATGAGGAAATGAAAAACAACAATGATATCTGCAAAGCGAAGAACTACAATAAAGGAAAAGCCAACCAAAGGAGAAATAAAGTCAAGTTAAACACCAAAAATAAACAAAAATGACCAGTAATTCATTTTATGTCTCTTTCAATCCTTTTGGATAAATTCTTACACATAAAAATTTTAATTACAATATCATCTAATTTTTCAGGGTTTTGTTTATTTTGCATTTTTTTGTTTCCATTTCTCGTCACAAAGTTACACAAATATTTTCTTTAAAAAGTTTTAGCGTTTTACACCATATATATATATCTCACTAATCTAGTATGTGATTACATTGGTTGTGATATGAGATGAGGTATATTTTACTCTCTTATAAATTAAAAATCCATTATTCAGGATTCAAGGATGAAAAAGATCAATCAGATTAAAAATTGTTTTATAAGGTATTTTTAAAGGTAAGGGGAAGGGTGAAGGAAATTAACAAATTTTGTGAAGCACCTTTCCTTCCGTAAACTTGTGGAGAGGTAGGAGGTGAAAAAAGAGAGAGCCATTATGAAAAACTTGTAGGAGAAGGTGACCCAACTTAAGTTATTCCCACCAAAAGCATGTAGAAACCAACTCACAGTCTAATAGAGTCTTATAGAGAGGAATAAAACACCTGGCTCTACTCTTGTGTATTCCAAATTCATCTGTTTGGTGTCCCTTTCTGATGGAACTTGACAAGAAACCACCTAACAAGGGAGCTTATCATGCAGCCTATAGCATATGACTCACCAAAAGGTGAAAGATGGAGAAAGGAGCCAATATGGCAGCCATTGGTTACATGAGGCTACTGAGTATTTGAAAAGTATCTAGCCTGAATTAAGGTGTGCTATGTGTTAAATAGACATTAGATTCCAAAGAATTACTRGGACAAAGAAAATGAACATGAAATATCTTATTAACAATTATTTTCTTTGCAAATTATGTTGGTAATCCATTGGGTTAAATGAAAATATATTAAAGTTAATTTCTCTCTTTTGTTTAAGAAAAAGAAGTAAAGGTATCATATTCTGTATCTTCACTGTAGTACTATATATCCATATTTATATGTTGTCATTTTTATATTTGTGTTATCAAAATTCATATAACTATAAAACTAAATAATGCAAATTATACCACATATAAATTATATCTCAACAAACATGACTTTAAAAAGACATCTAGTTTGTGAAGTGTTTTAACAGTATTGGGCACATACTAACCACCTGATAAATAATGGCTATTATTATGATTCATTAAAATAACCCCGCATCAAGATGTTTCATAGTGGGGTAGGGAGGGAGAGCATGGGAGGAAGAGACAAACTCTAAATAAGGCAAAGGGGTGGGAGGGGAAGGGAGGGAGCATGGGGTTAGAAATGATAGTGGAATGAGATGGACATCATTATCCAAAGTACATGTATGAAGACACAAGTGGTGTGAATATACTTTGTATACAACCAGAGATATGAAAAATTGTGCTCTATATATGTAATATGAATTGTAATATATTCTGTTATCATATATAACAAATCAGAATAAAAAATTTTATAAGATGGTGTTAGAAAATACATAGTTTCGTGTTACTGATGGGAATGAAAATTGGTAGCAACTTTTTATAATATTCTTAGTAAACATTATTTGAATACTTATTCTGTTTTAGGCACTCCTGTGTATGGTTAACAAATCTAAATTACTGATACTTTTCACCTATTTGTTCATTTGATCCAGTGTGTAAATCCATCCTGGAAAATGACTATAAATAGAGGCCATCTAATCCACATTTCATTATCAAATTTTTTTTCCCCCTGGCTATACTGGGGATTGAACCCAGGGGTTCTTTACCACTGAACTATATCCCTAGCACCCCTCAATCTTTTTTTAATTTTTAAATTTCTTTGTGGTACTGGAGATGGAACCCAATGCCTCATGCATGCTAGGCAGACACTCCACCACTGAGCCACACCCCCAACCCATCCCAGCCCTTTTTATGTTTTATTTTGAGACAGGTTCTTACAAAGTTGCTGAGGCTAGCTTGGAATTGTTGATCCTCCTGGCTCAGCCTCACAAATTGCTGGGATTACAGGTTTGTGCTACTGCATCCAGCTTGAGTTTATTTGGGGGACAAAGTCTCACCAAATTGCCAGACTTAAACCTGCACTCCTCCTGTCTCAATCTCTCAAGTCACTGGGATTATAGGCATGTACCACCATGCCCAGTTTATTACAACAATTAAAAATGGAAAACAGGGGCTGAGGTTGTGGCTCAGCAGTAAAGCACTTGCCTAGCACATGTGGGGTGCTGGGTTCAATCCTCAACATCACATAAAAATAAAATAAAGGTATTGTGTCCAGCTACAACTAAAAAAACAAAATATTTTTTTTTAAAAAATTGGAAAACCTGAAAGCTCCCAAAAGGGAAACCGTTAAGCCCTTCACTTAACAATCCTTGCACGCTTGCTACTCTATCACTAACATTTATATTTAAGAAGGTGAGGCAATAATACAAGGATACTTCAGTATGAAAGGGACATAAAATTGCCATATACACATACACAGAGATATATATTTAAAAATATTTTATTGAATCCAAGCTACCTCCATGTGTAATCAATTATATTAATCAGTCATTTTTAAAATGGTAAGCTATTCTAAATTTAAAAAAGGAAACCTCATCTTTTTACAGACAGGAATTTSTTGGATAACAGGGAAACTTGGCCCCAGTGTAGGGTGAAAAAATAGGCCGAGAAGACAAGGGCCAGAAAGCAGAGCTGGAAGTTAGGGTGTGGTGCAGTTATTTTGGTGAATATTTTTCTCTCCAAAACTGTCTTGAACAGGCAATTGTGGTTGCAAGGCAGGAAAACTGTCAGCAAACCTAGCTACCATGGAGCTTCAGGGTAACACAAGGGTGGCACTGGAGCCAGCTGGTAGTGTCACTTATGACAATGGAACAGCACTGGGTGGTCTGTGAACATGCACATGTTCCCTCTTCCCTCCACTTCTTTCCTCATTYGATGTACTAGCAGGAAACAGATCTTAAAAAGTGCTGCCTGGGAAGGAGTTCATACAGTATCAGAAAGGACCTTGGCATTGAGTAGGCCCACCCCCTGCCACGTACCCCATTCCTTCCCCACCCAGCAGGAAAGGCACTAAGGAGATGCCAACAGGGCTGCAGCTCTCCCCATTCCATCT